TGTGTGTGTGTGTGTGTGTGTGTGTGTGTGTGTGTGTGTGTGTGTGTGTGGCGCCAGGGAGTGGTCGTTTGTGTCCTTTATTGCCAAGAGTGCAGGAGAGGGGTTGCGGGTTAAGCGCCATCAGGTTCCTAATTGGTTAAAGCATGCTCCCGTGTCGGGGTGGAGGGGCTGGAGCTAACATGGTGTTAGTCATTTTTGTCTAGTTTGTGTGTTTTGTCCAACAGCTTTGTGCTCATTTGCTGGATGTTACATAATGGAGCGTCCATGTTTCGTGCTTTACAGTTATCATAGGTGGTTCAGGAGGTGGTGTAGGTGATCTGTTGTTCACGATGTTGCATCGTCAGGGAAAGAATAGGGTGCGTCTCCCGGTCGCGTTGATAGTGAGTGTACTGCGTCCTAAATACATTTTCTACGGACGACGGGACGCCAGTAGTCTCGAGCCCTCGCGGTACATGTTGTACTGTTGAAAAACAAGATGGCTACCATCACGTTTTCGTATCCTTAGTTTAGGTGAAAGATTTGGTGCTAATGATATGAAGTGACTCTTTTATTTTAATCGTTTTAAATGGATTGCCTAAAAGATTGTTGTTGTTGTTTTTAACTAGATTTGACATTTTACAGGCTGATGAGTGATTGATGGATTAATTGTAAATTTAAATAATCATTAGTTGCAGGCGATACAAGTGCAAGTGTTAACTATCTACTGATGTAACCGGAGGTTCGGTCACTTTTTGGTGACAGACAGCTGTACCTGCATGAACTACGTCAGACGATTACTTCGACTGTCGGTTGCAGTCATGTTATTATCCGTACTATCTCTGACGGAGTGATGACTGAAAGGTAACGGATGAGATTGCAAACGCTCACAATAGGCTGTTAACTGTACGCGTCACTGCTAGTTAGTATGTACTGACATACTGATGAAGTGTATGTCTTAACTGGACTGCATTTAAAATGGGTATTTATTTCACATGTCTCAAATATGTCTAAGTCCTGAACATGCTGTTGCAGACCTCTCCTCTGTCCTGTTCTGGCCTGAAGAAGCTCCATCTTTTTTTTTTTTTTCCTTGTGTTTCGAGTGTTTCGATTGTGTTACGAGGCTCTGAAAGACTCCACAAGTCCCAGAGGACTCTTGGTCTGTGGCCTGTGATCAGCCATCCCCACAGCCCTCAACACAACCGCCCGCCACCTCTGTTGGCAAGACCGGTGCGCTGTTCCAGGAAGTCCATAATACTTCCCCCATAGAGCGGGGGAGCACCAGTTTAGGAGGGGGAAGTGATGGTGGAGGCAGGAAGGGTCGATGGAGGAGGGCCTTTAATTTGCCTGAATTAAAGGCCCGGGTAGGTGGGCGGGGGTGAATGAGTTCACGGTGAGCAGACGGACAGTCAGTAGTGAGAGATGCCACCGAGTTACCCCTCAGTGACCCACGATGTGTGTTTCAGACTACACACTAAACCTCCACACACACACACACACGTTTGCTCAAACGGTGAGATACGTAAACACACGCACGGCGCCGGGGGAAGCAGGTGGGTGCGAGGACTGGCAATGTGCCCAGGTTTTTCTTCTTCTGCATTTTTGAGTGCATGTGAAATAGGTGCCAGCTCTTCTTCTTCTTCTAAAAAAAAAATTGAAATAATAATAATTCAGAAAAAGAAACATTTGAACAACGAATTTGGAGGCAGCAGCTCTGATTGTTACGACAGAAACTCCTCCTCCGTGTGACCTGAACGCCACCGGTGAGACGGGCCGGAACTCGGTTCTGGGTTTAAATATTGTGTTTGGAGATTTCTAGAAAGAGTTGGTGTTTCAAGGACATGCATGCAGCGGTCTAGATCAGCATCCCGTATTGATTGGTTTAGCTCGGGGATCCAATCCACCTACTCGCCTTTTGATGTTGTGAGCTCCTGGTGTGTTGTAGCACGGATGCCTTGTTGTAATGCGCAGCACATTAAGCACCATGTTTCAGCAACACTTTATACCCTGTCAGGATCAGGTTCACAGGGCTCTCCTGCCCGCCGGTGTTAAACGCAAGAGGGGAGCATCATCTTTGAAATTTCTGCTTTGTCACAAAGAAAGATTTTTACTTTTTTAATTATTGTTTTTTGAGGGGATGTTTCATGTGAAAATACAGACGTTTGGAGAACTTGTAAAGATTTCAAAGGGGTTCTGAAAAGTTAAGTAAAACGTGAAAACAAACTTGCTGATAATGACTTTTTTATGTTGACTACTTTTCATGTGGAAGTGAGAATAGAATTTGTAAAGCGTGCACACACACACACAGCTGTGCAGAATAAAAAGACGAGCTCTTTCATGCAAGGGCGATATTGCATGGTGAGGGCAGGGGAGGGTGACTGTTTTGGAGGTGTGGGAGGGATGAAGGGGGTAATGGGAAGGGGGGGGGGTGTAGGGTCTGTAACCAGGGCCACCAATGAGAGAGAGAGAGAGAGAGAGAGAACAAGGGGGTGCGGCGAGGGGGGAGAAGTGGTCGTTGTATGATCAAAGGCTCAGCGAATTGTGTCACAGACAGACGGAGAAGAATGGCGTTGGATGGTGTGACTTGCATTTTGATTTCCTTTGAGAGCTGGGGTGGGGGGGGGGGGGGGAGTTTTTAGAAGTAGGGCCCTGTTTTGATCCCATTACCAACTGCTATCAGCTCACTTGTTGGTGGAGAAGAAGACCATAACCGGGAGTGACTTGAGTTTTTTTAATGGTTTTTCTCTCGGCTAAACCTAAATTTTACGTTAGTGTTTTATCTGCCAAGTCAAGTTTGGCACCGTTTGTATTTATATGAAAGTCTTTAAAAGAATATGTTGACGAGAATATGAAACATTGCTGCCATGTTAACCTCATGAATAGAGGACGGAAAAATACAACTTTGACATTACAATGTCTCTTTGATTAATAACGAAAAAACAACTTCACATTATCGCAAATGTTTGAGTACTAAGAGGACGGCATCACATTAACAAGCATCCCATATGAGGAGGAACCTTCTCTACAGGTGTGTGTTTTTTGGTGGGGGTTGGCGGTGGGTGTGGCCAGCTTGAGTGACAGGTGGAGTTCAAATCCCCACCAGGATTTCATTGAGAGTGTGGCCTCTGTAACGGGATATTCATGTGAAAGGCTGCCTCCCCCCCCTCCACCCTCCCAGGGGCAGTGCAGGCAGGGCAGAACAAGAGCCGCCCCCTTGTGGCGCTTCAGGGGCGCCGGATGCCCTTCACCCAGAACCCTGGGTACGGACGAGCAGGGGCAAAGTGGAGCACCGGGGTGTTTCCAGTGGGCTGAGCTTGTGCGATTTGGGGCCTAGCAGGGGAAGCTAGCAGTTGGAACACAAGAGGGGACTGTGTGTGTGTGTGTGTGTGTGTGTGTGTGTGTGTGTGTGTGTGTGT